ATTTTAATTTAATGAATTAGAAAAAATATTGCGGACGCTATAACGGAAAAGAGTGAATCAGTCTTAATTATATCATACTTCATCACCTATTTTAGTGGTGCAGCTATGAGCACACATATATATATATTATATATATATATATATATATATATATATATATATATGTAACAAAATATTAAAATCAATCTCGCATTTCCTTTTAATTATTTTATGCATGCAAGGGCATACATTACAGCGCAGTTTTGCAAGGAATATGGTCGATAACAGAAATTGAAAGTTCTATTAATTTTCCTAATTGAAGAAGAAATGTGTTTGAAAAATATACCATCTTGAAATTTTACTCGAAAATCGCCATTTTCCATCAGCCGAGCAGTGCTATCACTTGATGGCTTAAAGATAATCTTGACAACGCGCCCCCCTACTGCACTGATTTCATTTAGAATTCGCTTGTACAACGCCAAAGCAATTTCATCTACTTTGTCGACCGTGCGTTGCAGCTGTTTTAAACTGAAGTAAAAATTATATATCTATGCATGTGCATATGTGCATCACAGTGTGGTCAGAAAATCTGACAATTTTAATTGCCTAGAAACATTTTTTACTATACCTGTGATAATTACGATGGATTTTAGGATCAATCGGAAGAGATGGTACTTCCTTATTTGTAACAGGAGAAGCACATTTATCTGGTTGGTGAAAAACGGAAAAATTCTGCGCTCCATTCGATGTTTTTTTACTGTCGCAATCCATTTTACTAGCATCTCATCATTTATAGAGCCATTTCGATTAACTGAGCGACTACGATCCCGGATAGTCGCTTCGTAAATGATCGTTCCATTTTTTTGAAGTGTAAACTGCAATGATTTTAAATATAAGACCAACTGAATAACTTATACTATTAAAATTTAAAACTCATTGTTATGGAAATTATCATACTCTAGCGAGACGTTCTCGACATTACAAAAATCTGGTCGCAGTTAATCAAGACATATGAGATGTCTGTAGCGAACCATGAATGTAAATTACATTTTCTCTTACAGGTACTATTTGATGGTGCACAGCGTGTCCGCAAGAAACTTATTAATCATTCGCATGATACAAATGAAAAGCTAAAAATAGTGAAAAATAGCAAATATATCACTAATAATAATGAATGTTTCACTAACATGAAAAATGTTCAAGTCATGCAAACAATTAATGGACACTACCTAAAATACAGGAACTCATTCTATAATACTAAAGGGAATTAATTTCAATTTACCTTTCCAGCTTTTCGTACGATCTCAGAAGGAGCCAAACGTGATACTTCAACTGGCCATATAAGTTCGGCAGTTGTTTTATTTGAATGGTCACCAAAGCTTTCCTTCATCTGCTTCAGATTGGTATTAAATGCAGGTCTTCGTTCCGCACGTGATAAATGCCGCATACCATTGCGATCGTCAGTCTCCCTGCAAATGATTTCAAAAAAATGTTGTTACACAGATTTGAAAGTGGAAACTTTCGAAACAACAAATACAATAAATATATATGAAAAAGCACGAAAAAAAATACATAATTTCACAGAACCACTGAATTTTCATTCCTCACCTTCCATACTTCCTTTCGAATGACTGTCGCTTGCCACAGTGTGCACATTGATTCTCCAAATAAGTACTATGTCGACAATTTTCTACGCCGGCCGATTCATCACGATAGCAATTCAGAGATGGTCGTCGACGAAACTTAAAAGCTTTTTTTCTTTTTTTTTTTTGACGTCAAACTATGTTAACCATGATATGTAAGCCGAAATGAATCTGTATTCTACCTAAAGATGTAGATTAAATTAATAGAAAGACAAAACTGTCGTAGTAATTAAAAAACAGAGTTCGTGAAATTACATAAATAACAAAAGCAAAGATAACGAACAGGATGACTACTTTCGCCACTTTCAAATGCAGAATCTTTAGTAATACGTTTATATCCACTAGTCGTTGGTCTGGCTGAATGTGCTCGAACAATTACCGGTGAAATATGCTGAAGATAGTACCGAAAATTCCAACTTGTTGGTATTAGCTCCAATCCAAGTATCTTATTCGTTAATAAAAAAAAGAAATTCCAGGTGTCTGAATTATGAAATGCAGCCAAGCACCCTCAATCACTCACCATGTAATTTTGCTACAAAAAATAGGAAAGATTGTTGTTGAAACTAAAAAAGTGCAGAGACAGAGACAGCTTACCGCAGCCTGACAGTCACGATAAATGATCCTTTCTCTTGATGTTTCTCGAGATCGACTTATTGGAAGACTAAGTCCATCAACTTTTCTCATGAATTCACTCATTGAAACATCTTAAAAAGAGTGAATCATTCATTTGCTGATGGATTTAAACGCATGGTAATATGAATAATGCAAAAATGAGTGTATGGAAGCGGAAATGAGATGAACCATTATAAATATAATTCGCCCAACTGAACATTATTTAATATTAGTTATGCAACTCTTTAAAAAAACCACCTCCAAGAGATATACGTCTTTCTTCATTCGGATCCATCATACTTTGAATAAGAGTAGCACCTTCCAGCGAGATTTTTTCCTTGAAAGGGTTCACTTCCCGATCTCGCGGTGGATCACTACCGGTTAACATTAGATATAATATTCCACCCAAGGAGTAAACGTCTGCTTTTTGATTATAATGCCGATTATACACTTGCCTGCAGTATTATATGAAATAAAAACGATTCTCTCAAGTAAATGAATCCCGGTTTCTCAATCAAAATCCGGTAGAACTTAATAATAGGAGATTTCATTTTATTTTACGTGCCCTTGATACGTTTGGCTTCAATGTGGATGTGGATGCCAACATTATAGGCAATTTATCATCTTTTACTTAAAAGGCAACATGATGATGACATAGCGTTGATTCACAGACCCACCATTTCTACTTCCATAAATTGGAAATTTGAGAGTAACAAAATAATGTGTGGTCAAAGTATTAAAAAAAAAAATTATTTACGGTGCGATGTATCCGGGAGTTCCAAGCATTGTCCTAGCAATATCACCTTTCCGGAATCTCGTTGCAAGACCAAAATCAGCAAGTTTCTACAATTTGGAGTGTTAAATCATTCAAAAATGTGGCAGTTAAAGGATGAGTGAGTATAACAGAAAACTTGGATAATCCAGCGGAGTAGCCCGAGCTCGTTAGAACAGTATTCATCCGATATTTCAAAAAGATTTTCAGCTACTGTTATAAAATACGGCAAACATCAAATTTAAGTCCCCAAAACTTACAACAAGTAGTTTATCTTCTCTGATTGATGAAATAAGGACGTTTCCAGCGGAGAGATCACGATGTATCATATTACGTTCATGTATGTGCTTCACTGCACTTACCAACTGACGAAGAATATATGCCGCTGCATGAATATTATATTAAAAACGTAAACATAACTCTTTAAGGGTAATAAATTTCATTTTCAGACCAAAAATTACGAGGAGACATAAATGATGATCGACTAGAACTAGTTCCGCGATATAATATTTTCAAGTTTGCTTAAAATTTCTGAGAACAGGCTACGCTGTCCTAATATTTGTCTTAATATGTCTTAATGTCTTAGTATTAATACTTTGCAAATTCGCTTGAAATTTCTGTGAATAGGTTACAGTCTTAATTTTTTTTCGAAATGCAATAGTGGAAAACTTTACCTGAAAAATCAGATAATCTTCCATTTTGTTTAACGTAATCTCGCAATGACCGATGTTTGCAGTACTCCATGATGATATACTGTGCATCATCTTCTTGGAATTGATCATAAAATTTTACGATGTTGTCATGAATAAGTCTGGATAAAGCTTCTAATTCCAATTCAACTCGAAACATCGTTGCTCTGGTGATATCAATCTGAAATACTCCTAATTTAATAATACTCCCAATACTATACACTTTAGGCAGAGATGGAATAATTTCCTTACCTTTTTGATTGCAACGTTTTTTCCGCTCCATTCTTTTCCTTCGGCAATACATCGAGCACGATAAACGACTCCAAATCCACCACGTCCGATTTCTTCCAGATCATCATATTCCTAGAATATGATCACATATTTTATCTTTTTAACCATTTTTAAAATTTAAAACTGGATAGTATACAGCAGATCATTTGGTGCAAAAATTACGCTGTGAAGCATTCCTAAAATAAGGTCAGTAAGTGGATAACTTGATGACCTCAAAACTAGAGCTCATTCAGCAGATCAAGAAACCGTAACATTAATAGAATATAAAAAGAGAGAAAGCATACACGTTGCAGACGACCCATTGCAATGATTCAACTGCAGTACATGAGAAAAGGACAAATATGGTACTCTGACAGCCTGAAACATCATTTACGAACAAATTGAGTCTATTTATAATATGGTCATATGTTACTGCTTTTATATAATCACGTAAAATTTACATTGATGACTATAAACATATAACAGTTAGACAATGTGAATAAGAATTTATTGAAACACTAACTTGTTTCTGTTAATAGTATAATTTATTCGAACAGTAAGAATTAAAATTTTACTGCTTAATTAAAATTCTGGAAAGAAATCTCTAACGAATCAATTGGTTTGTAACATTTACACTCTTTAAAGCCATCATCATTATTATTGTATTCAGAAAATTTCATGATTCTCTGCTATCTCTTCAACTATACTCCATATTTTCTCACTCTCAAACACTACTTCAATACTAAAATAGCATTCCTTCGTAAATCTCTTAATCTCTAACAAATGCGACACTCTCATAACACATCATACAACCTCTTCAACCTTCCTATCCAAAAACAAAAACAAATGATCAGATGGAAAGGCGCCTTTTTGAAACTTTGAAATTTTAATTTAACACCTCTATATGCAAATCTATATCCCAAACCGTGATTTTAAAATGAAATTAGAAAAATGAAATATTTCAAATGTTTGGAATGAAATTTCAAATGAATGTTTCTATTCTGATGAATGAATTAACAAATCCTATCAAAATACTTATTCATAAAGTATACATTGATTGCTTCCAAAATTATATAATTGATAAGAAATTGATAAAAATTGATAATGAATTAATTGGAATTCGTATTAAATGTTGCTATATGAAGATATTACTATGAACATTTTTCTCTGAAATAATTTAAGCTATGTATGATTTTGTATAATTTGAAATTTACTGCAAATAATATAGCTATAAACAAAACAATATTTGTAATATTTTTGAATTTATCAATTCAAGCAGAAATAATGAAATTACTAAAAATTTGAAGAAAAAAAAACGGTACAATGAATGAGTTCATTAGTATGAACTCATTAATTATAATTAAAATCACTGGAAGTATTCTATTAATAATGCAATTTATTTAATATTTAATAAGATGTATGTTTGAATCATATAAGTAGTAAACATTACTCATCTTTTTTTTCTTTTACTCATTTTTATTCAGTTTTTTTATTGGCCGTTTTTTTTTACTCAGAATTACTCGTTCTTTCTTTTTTCAAATTTCTAACACTATGTGTTTTCCTTTTTATTGTCATAAAAATTTTGATTAAAAAAGAAAGCATAAAATAAAATTAAAAAACGAAAAAAAAACGCAAAAATTATTATTATGAATTAAAAGACGCAAAATTCCTTTTTCAAAAAAGAAATTACAAAACAAAGTTTCAATATTTAATGAAGAAAGAAAAACAAATTTTAACATTTTTTCATTGAATTCATAAAATTCAATTTTAAATATTTGTTATTTCTAAAGTAATTGCTTAAATATCTATAATAAATCTATTTTGTAATTTCTTCTTTTCAAATATACAATAAATATTGTAAAGAAGTACGTTTCTTTTAAGTTTAAACATGATGGAAACAACAAAGCTAATTTTTTGTACGCCGCAGGATTCGAACTTACGCTTACCGAAGTAGACTGCGACCTGAATGCAACGCCTCGGACTGCTCGCGCAGACGGACCCATTCGAAACACAACTTCCAATTTTTGATGTAATTTAATTTTTTTTAAATTTACAATGTTTTTACAACATAAAGTATTGAAATAAAGATTTTCAGAGAGTACTCTTTGATTTGAAATATTATCTAAAATTAAAACTTTAATTTGAAATATCACCGAAATTAAAATTTCTTACGAGTTATGAATTTATTTCATCCCTTCTGAATTGGTGAAAAAGATCACAGATTATTTTGATATGATAAAAGATATGTGAAATAAGAAGAAAAGGTGTTGTACAATATACAATGTCAGTATTGCATATAATGAATAATATTAATGAGAATTTTATTTTTTTCAACTCCATATATGTTTGTTTTAACATAACTATACGTCGGTTATAATAATTATATTAATGATGGATAAAATCTGATTATTCGAAACATTCTTACTTGCAAATTTTAGCTCATATAGATAGTTACGTCAAAAATATGCATAGTTACGTCAGAACATGTATGGTTACGTCAAAACATATATTTCTTTTTTAATACATAAAATGATTATGCATTATTAGAGTAATAAAAATCACAGTGATGCAAAATATACAATAAGTATTACAAATATGCAATAAGTACTAAATTTAATAACTTGATCTACATTCAAAACTTGAATCTATATTCAAATTCTCTTCAATCTATATTCAAATTCCCTTCAATCTATACTCAAATTCTCTTCAATCTATACTCAAATTCTCATTAATCCATCAATCCGTACTCAAATTTTCTTCAGCAAGTGCAGCATTTAAGCATTTTTGAGAGCAATATGGCCGTTGTCGATGAGAACTAAATTGACCAATTTGTTGTTCCAACATACCACAATAAAAACATAAGGAATATCCAAGTTGTTGTTTATCTTTAATGAAACGATCACCAAAGATTACCACTGATCCTTTTGGACGCCATACATTGATGATATGTCGATCAAAATCAGTCATTACCCATGTTCGATTTCCTAAAAATAAACCAATATTTTTAGATTAATTCCTTTTTTACAAAAAAAAAAAAAAAAGAAAAATTAAAAAAAGATTAGAAGTTTTCTAAAGAAAGAGATTTTCAAGTTAAAAATTTTGAAGAAAAAACTTTGCCCTTTTCCTAAAGTTTATTCTTACACAACTTTAAGATAATCTTATCATTAATACCATCAAGATTCTCCAATTTAGAGGTGTAATTTATCTCTTAGTGATAAAGTTGCCATATAGTATATATGATCGATTAATCTAAAGCTTTATTATGTCAATCAACAATTTATTCGATTAAGTTAAGCAATTTAATTACTCTAGTTATTACCTGATTGAAAGTACCAAGAGATAAGTTTTGGTAAGTTACAAAATAATATTACATTTCTAGTTTTCTTAATGTTTCTAGAACTTTGACATCCAGTTATTTTCAATCCTATTATAATGTGGCTAAATTACATCTCATAGCCTATTATGTATGCAAAGAATTTGTCCGGTAATTTAATAGACCTAATTAAATAGGCTTAGCATTAAATTAAATTATAAACGAAATCCCCTTCTTCCTTCATCCATCTATTACTCATTTCCTCGTCCTTTTTGAAAATTTGATAAAATCATTTTCCATTTAAGATTCGTTTTATTTAATTAATTTCAACAAAAGCACTATTAGATGTGATATGGAATGGCCGAAAATGTTATCAACGACAAGATATGATAATTCTAACAGAATGAATTATTATAATTGAATTTATTCGATGACAAGTTTAAGCACTTATGACTAATTGAATTCATTCCATGATAAATTTAAACACTTATGATTAACTGAACTATATTTGAATTAATTTTTCCAGATTATACAACACGTCACGGTCTTTTGTTTATAGAACAAAAGAAATTGTAAATAAAATTAGACCAGAAGTTCTTCTCTTTTTTTTTTTAAAATTGATTTTAGAAAAAAAAGCTATAAATAAGATTAGGTCAAGGGCTCTTTTTTAAATTTAATTTCATGGAAAGCGTTATTAGATGTAAAAAAGAATATGACCGAAAATATTGTCACAGATAAGAGCACTCTAATAAACATCATTGCTAAAAGTTATCAAAAAAGAAAAAAAAATTATTGTGTCCTTGATAAAATGGAGGAGAAAAAGAAAAAGCGAAGAATACTTTAGGATAAAAATCAAATCAAAATTAAATAATTCATTATACTTAATTGATATATCATTTAAATATTTTTAATATTGCATATAAAAAGCATAACTTATATAATACAACGAAGCAATACTTGAATTTATAATTAATTTATATTAGATTTCACATTCAATTTTTATACTTATACATTCTCATTCCAACTGAAAATGATTTAATCTATTAATTATTCGACAAAAGAAAAAAAATCACAACTACCACATCCTGAAATATGCAATGACCAATTCAAATTTAAAAAAAAAGTCCGACTTAACTATTATTTTAATTTTTTCGCACTGTTACTAATGCAATTAATTTATTGATTTGAAATATTTATCTCAAATCAATAAATTAATAAATAAATAAATTATATTTATCTCAAAGTAATACTTGTATATTTTGAGAATATACAAGTGTAACATAACCTTAAAGTATTTTTATATTTGCATATAACATAAACTGATCGAGTAAGATGTTTATATACCTTTAAAAAAATGTTGAAATAAAACAACACGATCATCAGGTTGCCATTCCGGATCCTCTTGAAATCGG